ATAAACGATAGACTGATATACTGATGACCACAACTATTACTACTACTACTACTACTACTACTACTACTACTTCTTTGATTACCACTGATTCATACCTACCGACCCAACCCGCCCGCCCGCCCCTCACCTCACTTAACCCCAGCCAACAATCTCGATGACACTATGTCTCCTCCATATGATCTCAATCCGTAAACCATATTTATATGGTACTACCAGTGCCCCCATTATCTCCTGATCTTCGTATATGATATCCCAATACAGGTTAACGGGTTCGTCGTAGTCGACGGTCCAACGAAGTCGCGGATTGATATCGCAAATCAATTGTCTTATAAGTTTGATGTCATCATCACTGGAACCGCTTCGTGATGTTTCACCGACATTCTCAATGATGTCCATCAAACGGTTGTACAATTTGGCCGCCTGTTTGTCCAAACGAATCTGACGTTGCCGTCGGGTATCATTGTCGACGAATCGGTCGATGGATGTCTTCGATGGCATGTTTTGGTTGTCTTAGTAGTAGTTGTTGTTGTTGTTTGACTGATGGACTGATTGATGGGACCAATTGGACTGATATTATGGATTGATTTGATTTTAAATATTTTTAAAACTGATTTTTATTTTGTTATTTTGTGAAAATTATTGTTGTTTTTTTAAATTGTTGTAATTTTTTTTAAAAATCTGTCTATAATTACTGTATTATTATTATTATTATATAGTTTTATATATATTATTATTTTATATATATAGATCTAAAAAATTAAATAAAAATCTAAAATTTATTTTCTGTATTTTTGTTTTGTTTGATATGATTACTATTATTTAAAAAAAATCGGTATTTTTCTGGTTTCAAAATTTGAATGATATTTGCAAACAATAATAATTAAAAAAAAAATACAAACAATTAGTAGATTTTTTGTTTTTAAAAATTCAATAAATTTGTTATTTATTGAAAAACTACTAATAGTTTATTAATTTTTTTAGTGACGACTACTACTACTACTGATGTCTTTAAATGGATTAAATTCAATGACTTCTACCACAGATTGTTGTTGAGGTTGTTGTTGATGTTGTCTATTGGAAAACATTGATCGCATTTTATCAGTGATTTTCGTCAAAACAGGTGTCGATGGTGTCGGATGTATGGCTAACCTAACGAAATGTAATTTAGTTGTAGACCTACTACTACTCCGACTACTAATTGGCTGATATTTACTAATCCATTTCAATACCTTTTGTTTGGTTAGGTTGTTGAGTACCGGACCAGTAATAATCAGTCGCTCCAAACGGGATAACTGTGCCAACGATTGCCAACAACTGCGACCGTCGATAACAGTCTGCCAATTGGTGTCAACTTCTAGCGACTGTAGACGGGGTAATGTTTGGTGAATCTGCTGGAAAAACTGCTGATTAGCTACCAGTGCCAGCATTTTACCGGTTAATATCAGTTGACGCAATTCGGGCCAACAATTCGGGGTTATCTGTAGTCCCGATTGCATATTACTAGACAATTGTTGTTCAGCTAATCTGACTGTATTGTCGTCGACGACATTACCGTCCAATACTGTCACTGATAACCATTGCAAACGATTCATCTGTTTCAGTGATCGTATAGTCTGAACAAACCCTAAGACATTCATATTGATTGTATAACCAAATCTCATAGTGAATTGTCTTAATTGGCGACACTGGCCGGCAATCAGGGCTAATGGTTGACCCATCGATTGGCCAGTCAATTGTCTCGATTGGACCGACAATTGTTGTAGACTAGTTAGCCGTGATATCAGTGTCAGCGATTGATTGATGGTTATCTGTGTCGGCGGTATGGCTCCCGAATTCCATAGACTATCGATGGCCAGTCGTCTGAGTCCACGGTTTCCGTCTAAAAATATCTCCAGCAAATCGACAAACTGTTCGTCCATTTGTATACAACGAAACCCAAGCAAACCGTTGACAACCAGTTCATTGTTTTCGTCGACAATGTCGACAATATGTCTGACATTTAGTTCTTCTAACCGATGAAACTCCCGAAGCCATGGCTTGGGACCGGCAATCATACTGACATCCAATTGACGAAATAATTGCTGAACAGGTATTATAATGTCTAACAACTCGTTCGGATTATAACCAAATACTAAGCCATCGATAAACATGAGATGTGGCCACCATTGTTGCCGATTGGCCACAATTATGGCCACTATTTCAGTCATAGTATTGTTGATTGGTATGGATTTCAGATCAATTGATTTGATTTGCGGATATCTTTGCATTATATGTCTACAAAATTTATCGGTCAATGTCCGACATTGTGGTTGTTGTCCACCAATACTATGGCGACACTGGTGTAGAACTAGCGGCCGGATTAGCTGGTCTTCGGTCAGTTCAAGGCGTTCAATGCGGTCGGCACTATCGGCACCAATCATACGAAACTGTTTGGACACTTCCTGCCATCGGATCATATCACTAACTGGCGGATAGTCTCCGAGTATCTGAGCGGCCATATCGTCGCCGTAACGATCAAACGAATCTCTGGCGGCCGGAAGTCTTGGGTTTATGTCTTCCTCTTCAGCTTCAGCTTCATCTTCTTCACCACTACTCTCTGCTGATGACCACATAATTGAATAATTGATTGATTGATTGACTAATTAAACCAAATTTGACTGACAATTATTGATGGCTTGATTTGATTTGTCTTAAACTTTGTCTTATGTATTAAAAAATGTATTAAATTTGAAAACAAAACATAAAAAATCTCTAATTGTTAATTAAAAAATTTTAAAATTAATTAATTTTTTTTAAATAAAACTAAATTACCTAAAACATACCAATCAATGATACTAAAAAATTATGGCCATAATTGTGGCCATAATCGGCAACAATGTTGGCCAGATCTCAAGTTTATCGATGGCTTAATAATTAGTTAAAGATACAAAATTATATAAAAATAATATAAATTAATTTTTAACTACTAATTGATTGTCTAATAATAAAAATAATTGACTATTGACTGTATGTTTGTTTGTTAGCGACTACTGATTGACTTCTAACTGACTGATCTCCTATTCTTTCAATGGATTAAATTTAATGGTAACTAACCGTTGGTTTTGTATGATTTCGATCCAAATTGAATGCAATTTTGACCGCCGCTGCCATCGCTGCTCATTGATTGCCAATTGTTGTCTAATTTGATCTTTGGTTAGATTGTCGAGAACTGGACCCCTGATAACCACTCTATCCAATCGGCTTAACTGAGCCAATGATTGCCAGACCAGTAGGCCGTCGGCGATAACAACAGTCATACAACATTGACAGTCAAGCGATTCCAGTCGCGGCAATGTTTGATGAATTTCGCCGAAAAACTGCTGATTGGCCAACAATGCCAACATTTTGCCCCTAAGTTTCAATTGACGCAATTCGGGCCAACAATCGGCGGTCACTTGTAATCCTAATCGTTGTCCAGCAGTCAACTGTTGTTCGGCTAATCTAACCGATTGGTCGTTAAGTGTTTGGCCGTCGATTGTTTCGACTGCTAATTGTTTCAATTGATTCATACGTTTGATGGCTTCGACAGTATCGACAAACGCCTGTAGATTGTTATCTGTATAACCAAATCGTATACTAAAACGTATTAATTGTCGACATTGATGGGCAATATCGGCCAATGGTTGGCCAATAGACTGGTCATACAGTGTCGGCGTAAGAATGGCCAACTCTTGTAGACAGTGTAGTCGCCCGATCTGTACGAGCGTATCGTTTACGTCTTCGAGTAGCGGACCGACGGGTACGGCATTGGCCAGACTATAGACAATCAGACGTCTGAGTCCCGGTGTTTGGTCGACAAACAACTGAAACCAATCGACAGACAGTATTAGTCGACAACATAGACCTTGAAGTGGTTTTTCGACTACCATTTGCTGATTGTTATCGAATAGATCTTCGATATTACGTACGACTAGTTGTTCCAACTGTCGAAACTGTCGGAGCCATGGCTTAGGACTGGGTGTCCGACTGACATCCAATTGGCGAAACATTGACTGAACCGGTTGTAAGATAGCGACCAATGGTTGGACACTATCGCCAAATACTAGTCCATCGATACGTTCAAGATTTGGCCACAATTGGCCCCAATCGTCGACAATTATGTTCATAATGTCGGTCATTGTCTGGTTTATTGGTATATATTTCAGATCAATGTAACGGATTTGCGGAAATCTTTCCATAACATGCCGACGAAATTTGTCGGCCATCGTCAGACATTGTGGTCCAATCAGGTGCCGACACTCCCGATGCAGAAGCAACGGTTGGATTATCCGGGTTTCGGTCAGTTCGATACGTTGAATACGATGGGCGTATTGGTTGCCAACTAACTGGAACTGTCTGGACGTGTCCTCCCATTCAATGAGATCGTTGACCGTAATCGGCGGTCTATTGACTAATAGGTCGACCATATCGTCGCCGAAACGGTCAAACGAATCTCTTGGATATTCTTCTTCATCATCTATTTCTTCATCACTTTTCGCTGTTGACGATGACATTGATTGACTGATTGATTGATTGAAACCAATTTGGACTGCAATTGTATGGTTTGATTAACTGAATACTTAAAATTTTAGATTTAGTCATTGTATTAGATTTAAACTTATTTTTTTTTAAAAAAAAATAAAATAATAATAATCTTATTGTTAATTAAAATTTTAGGGGAAAAATCTAGATTATATAAAAAGCTAGTAGAAAATTATTTGTCACCCCAACCCCCCACCCCACCCCCCCCATCCATCCATATTTATTATCTCACTTTGTTTTTTATTTAAATTCAAAAAAAAATTATTGAATTTAAATTCAATATTATTATCATTTATAACTATTGGTGTGAAGTAAATAATAATTTTTTTTTTTAAATCAGTTATTAATATTAGTAGTAATTTCTATTATATAATAAATAGTATTTTTTTTTATTTGATTGAAACAAAATTTTATTATTTTAGTTTTCAAATGAGATATTGAATATATGATAATAATAATAATAATAATGACTGTCTGTATTGATTGAGACCTATTGATTGACAATATAGTGAGGTATCAATTGACACATCTTCTTCTTCATCATCTACTTCTTCAGACAGTTTTTTTTATCTGAAATCAATCAATCTTCAGTCCAATACTCTTCAGTAGACTCGTCATAACCATCATCTTCTTCTTCTTGTTCTTCCTCATCAATCCAGTACTCATCGGTGTCCTCTTCTTCTCCATCTTCATCGCCCGATTCGTGTCCACTGTCTTCTACTGGCAGTTCAACCAATGCTGTTGTTGTTGTCGATGTCATATCCATCGCCGTCGCCGATGATGTTGACGGCGATGTCATCATAGCATCCGACGTTTGCTGCACCAGTAGTTTGGACTTAGGTTTGGCGTATCGTTGAGTCCATCGGCGAGCGGTCTCATTGAATCGTTTGCGATTACGTTTGTATTGGTCGGCGGCCCGCGAATTGAACGGATCGTCAGCGTTGGGCTCCGATAGTAACAACTGTATGGTTAGCAGGACTTTGGGTACGGTCAGTGCACACGACCACTGAGACCCTAATGTGTCCAAACAGATACATCCGCCGTAGAATGTAATGTTCGGATGATAGATACGGGTAGCGAATCGGATGACTGGCGGCTTAAACGGATAGTTATCGGGAAAATCTACCGTCAAATTGAATACACCGTTTTCGTAGGGCGTATCGCTGGGACCGTCAATAGTGGCCGTCCATCTGAACAGGTTATCGTCTACGGGTTCGGCTGAACAGCCGGGCGTCGGATTTGTTTGTAATTCATGTAATTCGTGTTGCATTCGTCTCAATGCCATTGATATACCACTACTACTATAACTACCTGTACTACTGACCACTGATTTTGTATATTATTTAACTGTCACTGGATGTAGTTGTAGGCCATTCACCGATTGATTTGTTTGTTTGACTATAAATTAGGTTATGAATGACAGTTGAAAAACATAAATATTAAATAAATATATTAATAATACAATAATTGATTTTTTAAAAATTCATGCAATTATTTATTACAAAAATCATTTGAAATTTATTTAACAGAAACTATTCTATAATACTAACAATAAATGCAATGTCTATATAAAGTTATATATAATATTATATCGAGACTATTGTTATTTGCAATCAATTATAATTAGTTATTATTTGAAATATTATTTTGTTTTAAAATTAAGTATTGTTTTTGTTTCTAATTCAATAATTTGATAATTGATTGGACAATGATTTTAGAAATAGATTACATAACTGTGCCATTAATATGTCTCGCAATTTGCATATATATAATGTACAGTTCCTGTTGTCTATCGGTACAAAAAGCCAGACAACTGTATTGTAGTCAACGGACACCAGCCGATGATATCAATAGCCAAACAAAACTATTTATTTATCAGTATTTGATTACAATATATGTAGCACCGGGTGGTGTATTCAATCAGACTAACTGTCTATATCTGGATCTCTATACGAGAAATCAGATACTAATGGTATCGTTGACTATACCGGGCGGTGATATCGATACCGGTAACGGTATATCGCATGTAATGTTGAACAAGACTACCGGTTTAAAACCAATAACCTTTGTCCGGGCCATTCACGATAGCCGCACGTGTGCTAACCGTTTCTATCTGCAGGGCATACGTGTAACTGATCAACAATTTGGTTATTCAGTAAACTATTTGGTCGACCAATACATCCGATTAGAGCCATTGCAGACAGCAGTCAAACATTCAATAGTCAGACCACGTGTTGACCTATTATGGACTCAATTGATGAGACCATTGTTCTGGCATTCAGATAGATGTCCAACAAAATTGATGGCAACGTATGTGTTATTAAAAAAAATATCTAAAAATGATAATATATTTTAAATATATTGTTTTTCTATACATTTATTTATTTATATATATATAAAGTCCCGTTCAATATCCGACTTACGGTTTTCTAGTACTACCAATGCTTACACTAACCGAGCGATTGATGTTTCAATCATATCTGTTATCACTATTGTATTTCTATAATAATCTCTTAGCAAACTTGTTGTCCACATTACCATTGTTTGACAATATATGTCTGTTTAAAGTGTCGGTACCAGTAGCCAGTTGTCTGGCATTTAATTCGACTAATTTTATAGCCTATTTCTATCGGTCGGCCCTAAAGTCTAATCACCGATCAAATGATATTTCACAATCGTTTCGCCAGAAACTATGTTCACTGTTAAAGTCGATGTTTAGTCTATATCTACCGGTGATGTCGATTATCTTACTATTATATCCATTGAAGTTTGACAGCAGTTCATCGGTATTCAATAATCGGCGATTATTTGTCGACAACCAATCATCGGATGAATCAATTGTCAATTTGCTGTACTATATGTCAAGTCTAGTCCTGTGTCTGACATTGTGGCCACTGATCGCCGGTTTATGTCGTTGTCTATATCTATGTCTCGTTGGTTGTCCACAATCGGAACGTTTCGACGATTTAGTGGAAAAATCTATAAATTTGAACGAAATGTCTATCGAAAAGACCGAAACTTATACCAAATCAGGACTTAATGACTATTACAACAAACAGAGTAAATGTTTTGTTTTTTTTGTTGAAAACTATATTTGTTTTTATATATGTATTAATTATTTTTTTTCTCTCTCTCTCTTTCTATTAATAGAAACAAACAAATAAAACTATTTTCACACTTAGACTTGAGATAAATGATATATAAATTATTTATATTATAGTCATAACATTCAAACTATTTCAATATATATATATTATTTTTTTCTTATCAATACTATATTAATGTTTTAATTATTATCTAATATATTATTTATTAAGATTTATTTTTTTTATTAGTATCTTATTTATCTATTAGAAATGATTACTCATATAAAATAAATGTTATTTTAGTTATCATTTTAATAAAATGATTGCAATTTTTGTTGTTGTATAATGCAATGTATTAATCATTTCCTTATTGATCATTATTATAATAATAAAATTTTATTAAAAAATACTTGTATTATAAATATATTTATTTATATAGCTTATTATTATATTATTATTTAATACTAAAAAATACTATAAATATTTTTAATATTATTAGCATATATATTGTATATACTGTATATACAATATATTATAATAGTATTAAACATGCCAAAAAAAATTACAACATTGACTATTAAAATAAATATTTATAGTCAATGTTGTAATTTTTTGTTGTTGTTGTTGACATTGAAATATTGAAAATATAATATTTAATACTATTATAATATATTGTATATATATATATATATATATATATATATATATATATATATATATATACAAATATACAACATATACATATATAAATATACAAAATAACAAATATATATACAATATATATATATACAATATATATATATACAGTATTTAATATATATATATATATATAAATCAGAGAATATTCTTTAAATTCTGTGCTAAGCGTCTAATAGGCTAATGATAGGCAAACTCAGTGAGAGTTTAGTCCAAACATTCAGTAAAACTAATACAGTGTTTAGTATACACTATATAGACATAAATAATAATAATGTAATGTAAACTACATGTTATATTAATACATGTTTTGATTTTTTTTTTGGTAGTGATGAGCACAAAATTTTCAAAATTAAATTCATAATTATTATGAAACAATTTGCTGATGAAATTGCTAATCAGTATTGACTGTTGTTGTTGGACTCCCGGTGCAAATTCAAACCAACATTTATAATTATTATTTATGATAAAATTATTTTAAAAAAATAATTACATTTTCCCAATCAAAATATCAATATAACATAGTGTATAAGCAATAATATTTTTAAAAAAAAAATTGTGTCACTAAAATTAATTTGTTTATATATAAAATGTATTTCAATAAATTTTTTGTTTTTTTTCTGTTATATATTATTTAGTATTATTTATTTTTTATGGTATAAAAAATATGCAACATAAGTGATTTTTTTTAAATAAAAAAGTTTATGCAAAATTACATTAACATTTAATATTATAATATATACAGTATATATATGTATACATAATTTCATCAGTAATATATTAATTACTAATATAATAAATTTCATCAACTATTATATCAACTATTGTTTTGTCTGTTTTTTTTAAATAAAAAAAATCTATAAAAATGAGTTTCACTAATAATATTGCTGTTAATAATTGTGAAAAACATTGTCAAACATTGGATAGTAATATTATTACCGCCGATACTACTACTGAACTAAACAACAGTGGTTCAGACATTGAAGACCAGGACATCCTATGCGGTGATAGTGTTGGTGGTGGCGGTGGAGGCGGTAGAGATACACCAGTCGATCGACGTCGACGTAGACTACAGTCCATTATCGACCCGTCCTATGCACCGAAAATATTACGTAAAAATAAATCGATAACACGGGCCGAATCTATGGGATCGTTGGTCGGTAACGAAAGTAAAGTACTGGTACTGTTTACCGGGGGTACCATCGGTATGATGAAGTCGGCACAGGGAGGTACTGTACGCAGCCAAACGGGTTATTTGTTTGTTTGTATAGGGCATAGGGTTTATCCCTAACAAACAAACAAAAATCATATCATTTTTATTTAAAAAAATAGCTGATATTATAATTTTGTTTCAATTTGCAATGATATACAGTGTATACAGTGATTAATGATATGATATATCATGTTATATGTAGTGATAATAATAATAATAATGTATGGGTTTAGTGAGTGAGTGAGTGAGTGAGTGTGTGTGTGTGTGAGAGAGAGAGAGAGAGATAACAAAAAAAATTGTTAATAACTTTATATATTTATACTGTATATCAAAATCAAATATTATTGATATCTAATTATTGATATTTACCAGAAAAATAACACATTTTATTTGCTAATTTTTTTTTTAATAATATATCATATTTTTGTTGTTTGGATAGTATATGAGCCCCGAGCCGGTGCACTGGTGCCGGCATTGAGAAAATATCCACAACTACACGATCCTGATTATGTGGAAAAGCACTTACGTATGCCTAAAGATAATTCACCGCTTGTTTTGCCGTAAGTTTTTTTTTAAAAATCATTTATCATATCCTTTAGAAAAAATAAATATTATTTACAGTATTTTTTGGGTAAATATGTTAACACATACATAAATACATACACACACATACATAAATACATACACACACATACATAAATACATACACACACATACATAAATACATACACACACATACATAAATACATACACACACATACATAAATACATACACACACATACATAAATACATACACACACATACATAAATACATACACACACATACATAAATACATACACACACATACATAAATACATACACACACATACATAAATACATACACACACATACATAAATACATACATAAATACATACACACACATACATAAATACATACACACACATACATAAATACATACACACACATACATAAATACATACACACACATACATAAATACATACACACACATACATAAATACATACACACACATACATAAATACATACACACACATACATAAATACATACACACACATACATAAATACATACATAAATACATACACACACATACATAAATACATACACACACATACATAAATACATACACACACATACATAAATACATACACATACATAAATACATACATAAATACATACATAAATACATACACACACATACATAAATACATACACACACATACATAAATACATACACACACATACATAAATACATACACACACATACATAAATACATACATAAATACATACACACACATACATAAATACATACACACACATACATAAATACATACACACACATACATAAATACATACACACACATACATAAATACATACATAAATACATACATAAATACATACATAAATACATACACACACATACATAAATACATACATAAATACATACACACACATACATAAATACATACACACACATACATACATAAATACATACACACACATACATAAATACATACACACACATACATAAATACATACACACACATACATAAATACATACACACACATACATAAATACATACACACACATACATAAATACATACACACACATACATAAATACATACACACACATACATAAATACATACACACACATACATAAATACATACATAAATACATACACACACATACATAAATACATACACACACATACATAAATACATACACACACATACATAAATACATACACACACATACATAAATACATACATAAATACATACATAAATACATACACACACATACATAAATACATACATAAATACATACACACACATACATAAATACATACACACACATACATACATAAATACATACACACACATACATAAATACATACATAAATACATACACACACATACATAAATACATACACACACATACATAAATACATACACACACATACATAAATACATACATAAATACATACATAAATACATACATAAATACATACACACACATACACACATACATACACACATACATACATACATACACACACATACACACACATACACACACATACACACACATACACACACATACACACACATACACACACATACACACACATACACACACATACACACACATACACACACATACACACACATACACACATATACACACAAACACACACACATACATACACACACATACACACACATACACACACATACACACACATACACACACATACACACACATACACACATATACACACAAACACACACACATACATACACACACATACACACATAAATTACATACACACATACATACATACATACACACACATACACACACATACACACACATACACACACATACACACACATACACACACATACACACACATACACACACATACACACACATACACACACATACACACACATACACACATATACACACAAACACACACACATACATACACACACATACACACACATACACACACATACACACACATACACACACATACACACATATACACACAAACACACACACACATACATACACACACATACACACATAAATTACATACACACATACATACATACATACACACACATACACACACATACACACACATACACACACATACACACACATACACACACATACACACACATACACACACATACACACACATACACACATATACACACAAACACACACACATACATACACACACATATATATATATACAGATACATACACAAAAATTTAGTGATTAATTTAATTATCAATTTTTTTAAAATTAATTATTTTTATTTTTTGTTTGTAGAGATACGGGTGAATCAAATCGTATAGTCTATACTATCTATGAATACGAGCCGCTGTTGGACTCGTCTAACTTTACCGTCGATGACTGGATCAACATTGCACTGGATATTCAACAATCGTATCAACATTTCAATGGATTTGTTATACTTCACGGAACCGATACAATGGTTAGTATTACATAAATTTTATTTATTTATTTATCTTTTTAAATAAAAAATAATAAATTCAATAACTTTTTTTTAAACAATATTTTGATGATTATATAGTATTTTTTTATTAACTATTAATTAATGATTTTGATTATATATAATGTTGATTTTATGGGGGGGGGGGGTTCAAACATTTCAAATTGAATAAAAAGTTCCCCGTATATATATATATATATATATATATATATATATTCCCATTTAATTTTACCACCAAAATAAATACACTAATATTTGTTTAAATTTATATTTCATAGTTTAAATATTAATTAATTTTTTTTTAATAATCAGTTTTATTAAAATTTCTAGTTATAATTAGTTATTTATTTAGTTTATTATTATAAAATATATTAAATAATAATAATAATAAAAATAATTTTTCCAATTAAATTTTAGTCAAAAAAAAAATTCAATCAAATTACTAAAAAAAAAAGTTTTTTTTTAAATAAATAAATTAATAATTTCTGCATTTTTGTTGATTATTTTATTTTATTTATGTTTATAGGCTTATACAGCATCGGCACTGTCCTATATGTTGGAAAATTTAGGCAAAACAGTGGTCATCACCGGCAGTCAGATACCGTTGTTTGAACCGCGAAGCGATGGCCGGGAAAACCTATTGAATTCATTGATCATAGCCGGCAACTATTCAATACCCGAAGTGTCCATTTTGTTCAATAATAAACTAATGAGAGGCAATCGTACGTCAAAAGTATCGACCAGTCTATTAGATGCATTTGATTCGCCAAATATGCCGCCACTGGCCACTATCGGCATCAATATAAACGGTTCGGTAATTTAGTTATATATATATATAGTTTTTTATGTTTTTTTTTGTTTGTTTGGATCAATAGTCGACTGGAATAATGTGTTCCGGTGGCCAACAATTGCCAAATTTTGTGTCCATTCAATACTGTCCCGAAATGTCGGCCTATTGAGACTGTTTCCCAGTATATCAGTAGAAACGGTTAGCAAAAATATATTTGTATTTTAACCGTGAGTTTCAATTTAACTGTTAACACCCCCACCACCCCCACCCCTCTCATCATCATCAGATCCAAGCGTTTCTAATGCCGCCCATCGAGGGTGTAGTACTACAGACCTACGGTGCGGGTAATGCACCGTCCAATCGGGCCGACATATTGGCTGAATTACGGGCGGCCACCGATCGCGGTGTCCTGATTGTCAACATAACCCAATGTTTTTCCGGTCAAGTAATGGCCAGTTACGAAACGGGTAATGCATTGGTCAAAGCTGGTGTCATATGCGGATCGGATATGACACCCGAAGCTTGTCTGACCAAATTGTCGTACGTCCTAAGCAAACACCAGTGGACTATTGCGGAGAAGCGCAAGGTTTTTGTTTGTTTGTTTGTTTGACATCACTATTGATTTGATCCATAGATAAAACAATTGATTTGATTGATTGATTGTTCATCTGTTTTGCAGATGATTGAGACCAATCTGTGCGGCGAACTGTCCAGCTATTTGGACACGAAATTCGAAGATATCGAACTGATCCGCGGTATTGCCCAAAGTCTACGGGTGTCGACCTCACAGGAGATGCAGGCCCTGCGCAACGCCCTCTATCCGGCCATTGTCTGCGCTATTGCAGCCAAAGGCGACTGCGATCAGCTGAATAAATTGAATCGGTTTTCGGGTGCCGACCTCAGCGGTAGCGACTATGAACTGCGGACACCATTGCACACTGGTAGGTACAGTAGTATGTAGACATACATAGGCACCGGTAGATGTAATGTTGATTTCCACTCATTGTTAAGCCATTTCCAATAAGCACAAGGATGTAGTCGAGTATCTGCTAAGCGAAGGTATAGTTTTTTATGACAATTACGGATACACACACACACACAGTATGCCTATCCCTATATGCCTAACCATTACCATCCATCCATACACAGGTGCCAGTGTTCACGCCAAAGACAAAAACAATGAGACACCACTGCAGATGGCTATACAACACGATCTGAAAGAGATTGTCGTAATGTTGGTCCAGGCGGGCGCCCACTTGGACGGGTCGTCGACCACCAAAATGGCCGATATGTTGACCAAGTATTTTCTGTTTTTGATTTTGATTAAATTGATTGATCCCTGTTTTATATAATACCTGATATCTAATATCTATTGAACCGTTTGTTTTTATTAATACTATCAGAGCTGCAGCTAAAGGTAATGTCAAACGATTGGAAACACTATGTCTGGCCGGTGTCAACATCAACGAAGTGGACACTTTCGGCAGGACTGCCCTACATGTGGTACGTGTGTGTCTATATATATGTGTGTGTGTGTCTGTCTGTCTGTCTGTCTGTATGTATGTATGTATGTATGTATGTATGTATGTGTTTGTATGTGTTTGTATGTGTTTGTATGTGTTTGTATGTGTTTGTATGTGTTTGTATGTGTTTGTATGTGTTTGTATGTGTTTGTATGTGTTTGTATGTGTTTGTATGTGTTTGTATGTGTTTGTATGTGTTTGTATGTGTTTGTATGTGTGTGTATGTGTTTGTATGTGTTTGTATGTGTGTGTGTTTGTATGTGTTTGTATGTGTTTGTATGTGTTTGTATGTGTTTGTATGTGTTTGTATGTGTGTGTGTGTGTGTATGTGTGTGTGTGTGTGTGTGTGTGTGTGTGTGTGTGTGTGTGTGTGTGTGTGTATGTGTTTGTATGTGTTTGTATGTGTTTGTATGTGTTTGTATGTGTTTGTATGTGTTTGTATGTGTTTGTATGTGTTTGTGTGTGTGTGTGAAGTAATACAATATAATATCTAAATATCTAACTCCCGTTCCCCACCCCGATGTGTAGGCCATTGAACGCGACCAGAAATCGGTAGTCGAGTTTCTGGTCAAACACCGTACCAGTGATGATGAAACAAATCTATTGTTATTGTTGTCTAAGACTGATATCTATGGACGAAATGCTTATGAATTGGCCAAACATTTCGGTAGACATCATATGCTAGAAATGTTTAGTCAATTATTGTTAAGTAAATCTGGCAATAATTGTATTATTATTAATAATAATAATAATATTAATGATAAACAAAATGTTTTAAATTAAATTAAATTAATTAATTTTTCTTTGTTTTGTTGTTATTGTTAAATGATTTTATTATAATTTAAAGTTTTACTTATGTATATATCATATATTAAAAATTACAAAATAAATATTGTTTATATTGTTAAATTGATTAATAAATTTTTTTATTAGATATAGATTAAAATGTAAAATTAATATTTTAAACAAAAAATAATTTACCAAATTTATTATAACATTACATTAGCATATTACTATAAGTAACTAATTAAAAAATATCATTTATTGTATTATAATAGTTAATAATTTTGAATTAATAATGAATTTATATATGTTTGCTATCTAATAGATACAATAGGACACCAATTTTGTAAACAATAATTGTACCAGTTACAAAAATAAAATTACAATAGTTTAATAGATAATTATAGATATAAAATAAGTACTTCAAAAAAAAATAATAATTATATTTTTGTTTTTAATGAAAAAAAAAATTAATTATTTATATAAAATTAACTATTTATACCAATAGAAATAATAGTTAGGAAAAAATAATTAGATTTTGTTTTTATTTTCTATATTTTTTATTATTATTATTATTATTATTATTATATATTTAACTAATAATTAATGAAAGTAAAATGACACTGATACTAAATGTGTATTTTAGTTAATACAAATTAATTATTAATAAACTTTTTTTTCAAGTTAATGCTGGGTATAAAATGTATTATTTAATTATTATTAATTAATTTTTTTATTTTAGATATTTTTAGTACGTTTCTATTTCCATAGTTTTTTTTTTATTGTTTTTATTATTATATCAAATTTAATTGAATAAATTATTTTACAATAGTATGCATACATAATATATATATATATATATATATATATATATATATATATATATATATATATATATATATATATATAATTGAAAATATTATCAATAATTTTAAAATGTAAATATTAATTATTATTATTATTTAAACAAAAGATATAACTCTATAATCTAATATTTTTCTTTAAAAGATTTTTCTGATATTATTTACACATTTAATATTATATATACATATAACTGATTAAAATTATTTATATGTATATTATTTATAATTTATTTAAAATATTACTATTTGTACCAGTATCAATAATAGTTAGCAAATTAATTAGATTTTATTTTAATATTTTCTTTATTTTTTATTATTTTATTTTTATATATAAATAGAAAAATATTATTGATTTTAATAATTCATAAGTACGATAATTATGATAACTTAAAAAAAAAATATTATTTATATAAAAATTTTATTGTTTTCATTTATTTTACAAAAACAAAAAACATCTAATTAACTGTTTTTTATGTAATTAATTATTAAAATTTTATTGTAACTGGTACAATTTGTTATTACAAAAATTTTTATTTTTTTCCATTAAATCTAGATTAATAATAGTAAAATATTTTTTATTAATAATAATATTTTTTTGGGTTATCATTAATATCGTACTTATAAATTATTAAAATTAATTATATTTATCTATATATAATAATAATAATAATTAAAATATATGAAAACAAAAAAATCTAATTATTTTGCTAAATATTATTGCTACTGATACAAATAAATTATTTTAGACCAATAATATAGTCAATAAATTTTTAATAAAGCATATTATTTTATCATTAAAATGTATTATATTTATTATGCTAATAAATTGTTAGTTTAATTGCCGTTAAAATGTTTCGACCAATTGATTACAAGTTTTATATAAATAGGTATTTCACTGAATGTCATAACAGATAAACCAATCCATAAGCCAATAGTACCACCGATTTCATAGAGTAGTCCATAGATATCCATTGATAACTGTTCAATGATTTGTGGCTCTAATATATGTTTGGGTATTATATTCAACTCAGTATAGTTCATAAGTCCCGATCCGATAGTCGTATAACTAATATCCGCCAGTATTTTGAAACATCGGTTTTGAATAAATTTTCTACATTTTTGTGTAAACATATAATACAAATTTTTATAATCATAAATCGGACAATAAGTTATCGTTTTATTTATTAATTGTAAGTTTATTCTTTGTAATGCAATCGGTAAACAACCATAAGTTTTGATAATCATTGTTTTTGTGCACAATTTACAAGTTTTGATTGATATCTATTATTATATAATATACTATCGAAAGCATCGACCGATTGATCCAAACACTGTTGATTGGGTGTCGTTGACAACAGTTTGACGGCTTTAGTCGTATAGAAAATATTTGTTATACTATTTAATTCAATTGAATTGAAATAACTATTGATATTATCGTCAAAACGGCTAATGAAAGTCATTTGAATAATTTTACTGATATCTGGAACCACTGATTTGAAAACTTTTTTTTCTATTATCAAATCTATTATATTTAATACTAATATTTTTTAATAACAATGTTTTATTTTTAAATAATTCAATAAAATTATCGGAAAAATTGTAGAAAAATGAATTACGAAAATATATTTTGAAATAATATTCATATTTATAATCATCGATATCATTGTCAATATTTGCTAGGATTAGTCTATTGGGACAATCAATATGTGTGCCATCAGTAAACCAAAATACAACATTCAATAAGATCTCCGTAATAATTATATATTGATTCAAGTATTCGCTGTTTATTAGTAGTGTTGAAAATTTTGGGTAAAATTTTTTCAATATTTTTTAAATAATAATTAGTTCGTCGCAATTTTTTTATCATAGATTAACATTGATGTTGAAAATGTTTTCAATAGACTAATATCAATATCAATAGCTGGTATTTGTATATAATGTTTGAATTGTATGATTTGTGTTTGAATAGTAAATTGTAAATAAATATTAATAACAGCTACTAATTGCCAAATCATTACAGTTAAACATATTATATATAATAACCAATCAGTTATTGAACGAATAATATGTTTATATTTATGAATTTTTCTAACAATATTATTGTTATTGAAATGAAAATAATATAATATTAAATGAAAATATTTCATAGATTCAAACAATGTGTATACACTGTATCTCCAAAACATACCGATAAGTCCTCCCAATTCACACCAATAAGCTATGGCTGTCATCGACGGTAAATATATTATCGATAGCTTAAAATCTTTTAATATCTGAATATTAATTAATTTATATTTAAATAAATCTATATCTTTTTGACCAATATCTGCTATGTTTTGTATAATTTCATACGTATAGTGATTGCAATCGGGTTTACATTTAGTTAGTAATTCACTATAATTGTAACCAACAATACAATCGGTAATATTATTATTAGCGCTTAGATTATTATAATTATTAATAAGCGATAAAATGTGTGATTTATTATGAATAGGATATTGAATCCAATAGTAATTATAATTACATTTTCTATACTCTCTATCAGTCATTACATTTAACATGCATTCAGTTCGGGATTTTGGTTGAAGTATTAGTCGTCCATCAGTTGATTGTTTGTCGCCATCGATGCTATTGTTATCATAGTTAATGCAATCAGTCTGATAGGGAAACGGTAGGTATTGTTGTAATCGTAAATATAATTTATAAACATATAGTTTATTAGTTAGTTTAATATCATTCATATGCTGTTGAAAATGTGTCGGTTCATTCAATTGATTCAATGCTAGTTTCAATGGCTTCTCATAATCTATAACTATTAATATTTGAGTATTTGACATAATAGCATTTAGTTGATCATAAATGGTAATATTGCTATTACCCTGGTACATTAGCGTCAAACATAGCCTAACCGTATAGATATAGCGCAAGCTATCACCACCAGTAAACTGATCGCACGGTTTCTCAATTGTTCCAGTTATACGACATTGTAAATTGGGCTCAAGTAGTTGACTATTATTCAACAATATTTTTAGCTCCTGTTCCTCAAGACATATGGTTATCGATGGCATAGATTTGGCATCAAATGTATCGGATTTATTGAAATACATTGAAGTGGTTATAGGGTATCGCAAGTAATCAATTGAATGCATACATATGTAAACTGAAAATATTATCAATAATAAAATGTAAATAATTTTGATCTTCATTATAATATTTTGTATTATTTTTTGTTTTTTTTTTGATTTCAATTTTTTGTTAAATATATTAATAATAAAACTATTTTTTTCCTAACAAACACTACCTACAGATACAAAACTACAATTGAATTGCTGTTTATATATATATGTTATAAATATAATGTATTATTTTATTTTTTGTTGATAAAATAATATGCTTTATTAAAAATTTATAGTTAAATATTATTTCTACAGTTTATTTATGTATGAATATTGTTTATTAATATTAATGTATTTTTTCTAGTGTAGAAATTAATTATTTATATAAAATTACTTATTTGTACCAGTAGAAATAATAGTTAGCAAAATAATTAGTTTTTTTATTTTCTATATTTTTATTATTATTATTATTATTATTATTATTATTATTATTATTATTATATATATATATATATATATATAAATAGATAAATATAATTAATGAACAGTAAAATGACACTGATACTAATTGTATTTTTTTAAATACAAATTATTAATTAACTTTTACAAGTTAATACTAGTATAAAACCGTATTATTTAATTAGTAAAATTAATTTTGTTAACTATTTTTAGTACCTATCTATTTCCATAGTTTTTATTATGTAATCAAATTAAACTTAAAAATTATTTTACAATAGTATGCATACTAAAAATATATATATACTGTATATTATATATAACTGAAAATATTATCAATAATTTTAAAATGTAAATAAATTTTTTTAATTTTTTCTTTTTTAAGTTAAATTTTTCAGGAAATTGTTGAAAAATGGTAGTTTATTTTTTTGTAATACTGAATCATTTGATACCCCCACATGACTATAGTTGATTTAATTTTATCATACTGAATTTAATTTTTAATTATGATTTCGTATGTTCGTATGGAAATGCTTTCTAGCATTTTCAACTGGTTTTTTTTAAATTTATAAATTAATCATTTATTTAAATAAAAATTTTAAAATACATAACAACAACAATAACAACAAAAATTATAGCAACCAATCGACATAAACGGGTTGGAAATCCCATTTATCGGGTTGTCCTCTATGTCGGATCCCTTTTACCGATGTTGTCGACCATTGAAATGTCGGTAGCGATTGATTGGTTGGTCCGCTAACAGCAAACATCCTATTAGTTTCAATTAATTTACTTGAAGTTATTTTTGCATCGATAGCACCGCGCGGTCTAAACCCCAGCACAGGTATACTGTAGTAACCGTCGGGATCGTTAAGATCATTGCGGCCGGCAATTGCCAGATCAGCCGAATATGGTGGTCGACAGCCAGGATATCGGGACAATGGATCTGTTGGTGAACTGTTTGATCGCATCAATCGCATCATTGATTGGATATCTCGGACCAGGCAGTGGTCGCGTCTGAATATCCGAGCTCTTGGACTATTAGTGCGGCTAAAATATTGGCCATATTTTTCGACCAATTCAGGGTAACCGGCTCGGCGATAGATATCCTCAAAATACGGTATATTATACGATGACCAGTAATGATCCCGACGTAACATTTCGGTCATATCTTCCGAGTGCATCATATCGGGTAACTGTTCCGTTATCCACAATACATCATCGGGTAATTGGTCGGGTCTGAGGCCACATCGATAGCGATTGTAGTCGACAATCATAAACTGACTGTTATAAGTACCGCTATTATACCGGCCAAACAATTCCGACCATTCACTACCAGATCTGGCCAATCGGTTGGCTACCAATACACGTATAAACTCGGGAACCGTTGAATCGGGTCTGACTCCCGACCATAGTTTACGGTTGTTAAGTATTTCGAATGTCGTTTCCAGGACTACCAGTCCCGACGATAGTATATAAAAGTCGTCGCACGATAGGACAGCACCGGGATATGAGGACATCGACATACATGAGCCGGGAATCAGTGGCTCATTAGTTGTTTCCCGATCTAAATGATAGCCGAAATCATATTTTTTGATTACACGTAACATCGAGTGATAGGTCGACCACATATTATGGCCGACCAATAGATCGGAACCGTCGGCCAACGGTTTGACAATTGCCGAACAGTGATGGCCTTCGCCTAACAGTAGTCGATCGCGGGATTGTTTATCAAATACTTCTTCGAGTACATCCAAATCGGGTATCAGATTCAATAGGAAAACCTTATCCATGGGTTTGATATCTATGCGGACCTCTAGTAGTACTGATTTGTTGCTACCATCACCATCACCACCACCACCACCACCACTACCATTGATGGCCCAATTGTAGCCATCCTGGAGGCCAGTTAGCTGATACAGTACTAGTCCAACACAATGCCAGTAAGGGTTGTTAGCCGTAGTCAACATAGTTGTCATAAATTTGATATTTTTCTCAACAAAATCCTGAAGTTTTTGCTTGTATTCATCATCATCGGCGGTAAAATAACCGTCCAATTTGTTAAAATAGTGATCAGTAATCAATTGATGGGTTAGATAGCCTTCAATTAAGCCGGCATAGTATGCCTGATAACTGTCCGGCCAATGCTGGTTGGTGTGTAACTCTAGTTTAGACCATCTATTTAGTTAATATATATACAGTATATAATAATTACCGGTAATTGTTTAGTAATTTATTAGTAAATATTATATATATATAATTTATAATTATTATCAGTTAACTTATATATAACTGTATCTATTAATAAAAATTTTTAAAATAAAATATAATTTACCCGTTTTGTTGGATAGTATCAACAAAATGTGCCCAAACTATACAATTGCTATTATTTTTGAATATATCTTTATAGACGATATTGTTGTTATCAATTGATTTAATTTCATTATTTTCAATAAAATAAATCATAATTAACTATTATTTATTTTTCTTTATTATTATTAAATAATTAAACTTAATAATTTAATAACATAGATATTATAAAATCGATTTATTATTTTAATATATTTAGTTATGAAAGTAATAATTAAAAAATATTTAGCTATTTTATAAATTTTTTTTGATATATCTATTGAAAATCAATAAATAAATAAATCATAAATAACTGAAAACTTATATCTGTTTTATTTCAAAAATAATTATCATTTTTTCTAATATACTGTAAATATTTGTTCAATAATATCAACAAAAAAACTATTTATTAAAAATAATTATTATTAAATAATTCTAACATTAACAGTACTACAATTTCATTGAACAAAATTTTTTAATAAATATATAAAATAGTTTTTAATTTTTAATATATAGATTCAACAAAAATTGCAATCATTTTATGAATAATAATAACTAAAATAACATTTATTTTATATGAGTAATCATTTCAAATAGAAAAATAAAATATTAACACAAAAATATTAATAAATCTTAATAAATAATATATTTAGCTAATAATTAAAACATTAGTATAGTATTGATAAGAAAAAAATTAATATATATATATATATATTGAAATAGTTTGAATGTTATGACTATAATATAAATAATTTATATATAATTTATCTCAAGTCTAAGTGTGAAAATAGTTTTATTTGTTTGTTTCTATTAATAGAAAGAGAGAGAGAGAAAATAAAAATAAAATTAATACATATATAAAAACAAATATAATTTTCAACAAAAAAACAAAACATTTACTCTGTTTGTTGTAATAGTCATTAAGTCCTGATTTGGTATACGTTTCGGTCTTTTCAATAGACATTTCGTTCAAATTTATTGAATTGTCCACTAAATCGTCGAAACGTTCCGATTGTGGACAACCAACGAGACATAGATATAGACAACGAAATAAACCGGCGATCAGTGGCCACAATGTCAGACACAGGACTAGACTAGACATATAGTACAGCAAATTGACAATTGATTCATCCGATGATTGGTTGTCGACAAATAATCGCCGATTCATGAGTACCGATGAACTGCTGTCAAACTTCAATGGATATAATAGTAAGATAATCGACATCACCGGTAGATATAGACTAAACATCGACTTTAACAGTGAACATAGTTTCTGGCGAAACGATTGTGAAATATCATTTGATCGGTGATTGGACTTTAGGGCCGACCGATAGAAATAGGCTATAAAATTAGTCGAATTAAATGCCAGACAACTGGCCACTGGTACCGACAGTTTAAACAGACATATATTGTCAAACAATGGTAATGTGGACAACAAGTTTGCTAAGAGATTATTATAGAAATACAATAGTGATAACAGATATGATTGAAACATCAATCGCTCGGTTAGTGTAAGCATTGGTAGTACTAGAAAACCGTAAGTCGGATATTGAACGGGACTTTATATATAAATAAATGTAAAGAAAAACAAATATATTAAAAAATATATTATCATTTTTAGATATTTTTTTAAATAATAATAACACATACGTTGCCATCAATTTTGTTGGACATCTATCTGAATGCCAGAACAATGGTCTCATCAATTGAGTCCATAATAGGTCAACACGTGGTCTGACTATTGAATGTTTGACTGCTGTCTGCAACGGCTCTAATCGGATGTATTGGTCGACCAAATAGTTTACTGAATAACCAAATTGTTGATCAGTTACACGTATGCCCTGCAGATAGAAACGGTTAGCACACGTGCGGCTATCGTGAATGGCCCGGACAAAGGTTATAGGCTTTAAACCGGTAGTCTTGTTCAACATTACATGCGATATACCGTTACCGGTATCGATATCCACGCCCGGTATAGTCAACGATACCATTAGTATCTGATTTCTCGTATAGAGATCCAGATATAGACAGTTAGTCTGATTGAATACACCACCCGGTGCTACATATATTGTAATCAAATACTGATAGATAAACAGTTTTTTTTGGCTATTGATATCATCGGCTGGTGTCCGTTGACTACAATACAGTTGTCTGGCTTTTTGTACCGATAGACAACAGGAACTGTATATTATATATATGCAAATTGCTAGACATATTAATGGCACAGTTATGTAATCTATTTCTAAAATCATTGTTCAATCAATTATAAAGTTATAAATAATAAAAACAATATTAAATTTTAAATCAAAATAATATTTCAAATAATAACTAATTATAAATGATTGCAAATAACAATAGTCTCGGTATATAGATATATAACTTTAAATAGACATTGAATTTATTGTTAGTATTATACAATAGTTTCTGTTAAAAAAAATTTCAAATAATTTTTGTGATAAATAATTGCGTGAATTTTAAAAAATCAATTATTGTATTATTAATATATTTAATTAGTATATGTTTTTCAACTGTCATTCATAACCTAATTTATAGTCAAACAAACAAATCAATCGGTGAATGGCCTACAACTACATCCAGTGACAGTTAGATAATATACAAAATCAGTGGTCAGTAGTACAGGTAGTTATAATAGTAGTGGTATATCAATGGCATTGAGACGAATACAACACGAATTACATGAATTGCAAACAAATCCGACGCCCGGCTGTTCAGCCGAACCCGTAGACGATAACCTGTTCAGATGGACGGCCACTATTGACGGTCCCAGCGATACGCCCTACGAAAACGGTGTATTCAATTTGACGGTAGATTTTCCCGATAACTATCCGTTTAAGCCGCCAGTCATCCGATTCGCTACCCGTATCTATCATCCGAACATTACATTCTACGGCGGATGTATCTGTTTGGACACATTAGGGTCTCAGTGGTCGTGTGCACTAACCGTACCCAAAGTCCTGCTAACCATACAGTTGTTACTATCGGAGCCCAACGCTGACGATCCGTTCAATTCGCGGGCCGCCGACCAATACAAACGTAATCGCAAACGATTCAATGAGACCGCTCGCCGATGGACTCAACGATACGCCAAACCTAAGTCCAAACTACTGGTTCAGCAAACGTCGGATGCGATGATGATATCGCCGTCAACATCATCGGCGACGGCGATGGATATGACATCCACAACAACAGCATTGGTTGAACAGCCAGTAGAAGACAGTGGACACGAATCGGGCGATGAAGAAGAAGAGGACACCGATGAGTACTGGAATGATGATGAGGAGGAAGAAGAAGAAGATGATGGTTATGACGAGTCTACTGAAGAGTATTGGACTGAAGATTGATTGATTGATTTCAGTTTAAAAAAAACTGAAGTCTGAAGAAGTAGATGATGAAGAAGAAGATGTTTACCACTTATATATATATATAGTATTTATATGATATGATGTGTCAATCGATACCTTCCACTACTATATGATAGTCTCAAAAAAAATTAAAAATTAATATCTCATTGAAAACTAAAATAATTGATAAATAAAATTTAAAAATAAAAATTTTTTTTGTCTATCAAACCAAATACAATTGTTTTACAATAAAATACAAATTACTATTTTTTTTTTAAAAATTAATTATTTAATTAGTAATTAACTATAAGTTTTTTGTTTTTTTTGTGTTTAAATTTATAAAATTGCAAATTAATTGACTTCCAGTTTAATTAATTAGTTAATAATTTTAGTTAACAAATTGTTATTAATTTAGGTATACATACAAAAAAAATAGTTTAAGAAACTTTTCACAAAAATATAACTTAATATGATATAATAAATTGAATAATTAGTTTTTATTTATTATAATAATAATAATAATAATTATTATTATTATTATTATTATTATTATTAGTACATTATTTTAATTTATATTATATTTTTTACCCCTAAATTATTATTCAATACATTGCAATTAATATCATATTTATAATTAATTTTATTACTATTCAAAAAAAAAAAGAAAACAAATAATATCTACTAACAAAATATTTAAAATATATATATCGATAATTTAATAAAAAAAATTACAATTTTTGAATTACGTTAATTATAAAAACTTTACTAAACAAACAAGTTTTAAAAAATTAAAATAAAACCTAAAGTATTTAAGTAATATATTAGTTAAAAAAAAATTTTAAGCACATAATTTTGTTGAATTAATTAATTAATTTTATTAATAATTATCAATTTATTTATTTAATTAATTTCTAAATTAAGTATTAATTAATTATTAATTATTATTTATTTTTTAAAATTAATTATTAAAATTTAAAAAAAAAACATAATTAAATGTATAGTTTTTTTTTTGTGATACTGTTATTACAGTGTACAGTATATTTGTGTATATATTTTATTTGTTAGCCAATCAGCGATCGACTTGTAATTCAAAAATATACTGTATATATACAAACATAACATTATTTTTATTATACATTAAGTGTTTAAAAAAAAAAAAATCAAAACAAATAATAATTAAAAACATTATTATTATTATTATTAGTGAAACACAACATAACTATTGACTGATTTGATTGCAAACAATGACCGCAAACAACATATCGGCGGCGGCGGCGGCGGTCAACAACAACAAGTGGCCACTGGACGAGTTATGGGCCAATCGGTACGAGACACAGTTGGCCACAATCACTGGTTGCCGCAGTGGCGGTGCCGATGTCACCGTCGCCAAAAAGTTTACAAGTTTACGGCAATTGTTGGCCACTGTACGGACGGCCACCGACAGTGAACTGAGCGACAACGAGTTCAATGTCTACGGTATTATCGATGCGGTCAACGGTCACAATGAACTTCATCGTAAAGTACATATAATGGATCCGTCGGTAGCCGTACCGGTCACTGTTGTTATCAACAATATTACCGCTTATACTAATATTGGCGTCAAAAACATTATCCGATTGACCGATATTTCAATTGTCAGCTCGTCATCGTCGTCGGCCAGTAAAGTATGTATCGATCGATCGGTCAATCATTTTTCGGTAAACTACTTGTCCAACTAATACCAATTTTTTTTTGGTCAAGGATTTTGTGGTCAACGAGCGGCGAAATTTTGCCCAATTTTATGCCTTTACGTACGATTACGAACCTCCGACCACAACAACAACAACAACAGTGACCAACAATTTCAATATTTTTGCTGCGAATACTCATACGGCCTACCAGTCGGACAAATTGGTCGCCAAACTACTGGAAGAATGGTTTGCCCAGACATTCATTGCCCGAAATCGTTTGGATAAGCTGTTGATAGATCCGTCATCGGCGACGACGACGACGGAGGCGGCGGCGGCTGTGACCACCTCAACGGACACCACATCTAACAACAACAACAGTAATTCAATTAGCATTCGTTACGTAGACTTTGCCTGTCGTGTCATAGCCTCACAAGTGATGAAACAGAGTATCCAATTGACAGTATCGGACGGCACTCGACCCGATGTCAACGTACACAACCAGTACGGCAGCGCTGATATCCAACAACTCAATTGCGGCGGCGGTATTACCGATGGTGATCAGCAGCAGCAGCAACAACAACAACCGGTGGCCAGCAATCGTTTTCATAGGCTAAACACTGATGCCGTACTATCGGGCGGCGGTCTGGACGCCCGTCGACTAGTTTACGTAAACATCTGGAAGAATAGCTCCAATCAGCACAACGATCACTATAACTGTGCCGAAAGTCTGACACTATTGAATGGCGACGATTTGGTCATTATATTCAATGTCGAAGTTTTCAGATCCGTTGATGACCAGCGACAAGTGAAACTACATCTCCGATCGGGTCGTCACTACGGGAAAGGCATACGCAAAGTGTCCAGACTAAGTGTTTTGGGTCGTCAGCTGATGAAAGTAATCAAACAACGAGAAAGAACTGGTGATTATAATCAACAACAACAACAACAACAACAACAACAAGAACTATCATATGATGAAGTAATGGACACCACAATCTCTACTAATCGGTTGCGATATCGTCGACAAAAAGTAGGTCACGTTGTTGTTGGTGGCGGTGGTGGTGGTAGTGGTAGTGGTAGTGGTGTCCGACACTCTACACCGAAGACTCCGAAACAGATAACAACAACAACAACAACAGCATCAACTAATCGTACTGTTTGTCAATTGGTATCCGATTTGCCAGTAATTAATGAATTACTAGCGCTGGGCTATCGACACGTTCAGGCACTATATCGTCAGCAACTGGTCGAGCAATTGTATCCCCGAATTGAACGCACAGACGGCGACGACGACTATAAATACAATGTGAAGACAATTGAAGAAGTTTTGGATCGTATGCGACAGGAATGGTGTCGATTACCGCCGATACCAACAGATATGATAGCTTATCAATCCATGGATCGGTGTATCAAAATCAAGGATCTGTTGTTAACTCCCGATGACGATGTCGACCAACTGTTTGTCATTAGAGCCAAAATACTGGACATACGGCCAAAATCAGTGTTTCCGACCGATCAGTTTGTTTTACTCAAATGCATGGTCTGTCCATACGTTGCGACCGTTTGTCGCCACACCCGTCAATACGAACGTGACTTATGGTCACAGCGACAGCTACTTGAATGTCCCGATTGTCGTAACGATTCGGAAAAAATCTCACAATTGATACACTTGTTTGCCATTAGTTTTTTGATCAGCGATGCTGAGGACGACGACAACGATGTGAATAATCAATTGAATGTTTGTCTAACAAAAGACAGTGCCGTCTCAGTGTTCGGCGGTGTCCGACCCGAACGTCTACTCATCGCAGCCGACAACGACGCGGCGGCTATCGGTGTCGACAATACATTGTTCGCCATTTGCCAGATGTCTGACCAGAACAATGGCATCGATTGGGTGATACGTAAGACCCGAAGTGGTGGTGGCGGCGGCGGTGGTGGTGTTGATGGCGGCCGACCCGACAACAAAACCGTTCATCAGGTCATAGCATTGGCACCGATACATACATTTCCACTGTAGTAGTAGTACCGGTAGTAATCATATCTCATTAATTTATATATATATATATAGATATACAGTATTATATCATTTTTAATACAATGTATAGTATTATAAATTTTTTTTTGTCAATAATTATTATTATATTATATATCAATTCATATTACCGTTTTTAACCACATAACTTGCCATATCAATTTTAAAAATTAATTAAAAGTGTCATAAAGGTATGGAACTAATTACCACTAAACCTGCCATACCCTGGAAGATAATGCGATAACTAAAATAACCGAATGGCAGTAAATGTGATAACTGGTATCTACACTACTATAAGTGTTTTACAGTAAATATCTAAATTTAGTTATAATTAATTAAATATATGATCAATCAATAAATAAATAAATAATTTAATATTATAGGATCGATCTATAATTAATAAATGATCGATCAATACTATAAAATTAATAATCAAATATATAATAAATTTAATTCGCATTAATAATCGCATTAAATAATGATAAAAAATTATGAGTGGCATGAATTTGACACATAATAAAAACTTATAACATGGCTGGGATTTTGTGCCCCTAAATCTAGCAAATTCCAGGGGAACCAATTACCACGAAACCTGCCACTTATCGCATTACCTTCCATGCCAAATTATGTGCGCAACAACGGTAATTACAAATCAAATGTTTATATGTAAAAAACAAATATTTTTAAATTATTTATTTTTGTATGTAATTTTGTTGTTAATGTAAAATTGCACAAATAATAATAAAACAACTATAAAAAAAATATTACGATAATTGAAAATAATACAAAAATTTCTACAACTAATTAATTAATTAATTATTAGTTAATAAAATAGTAATAAAATTGATTTTTAATAATAATTTGAAGAATTTCAAAACCGAAACTGGATTTATTTTACCTATAAATCTATAAATAATTTATAAACTAAACTAAAATATTTTAAAATTATTATAACTTTTAATATTAAATAAAGTTATTTTTGTTAACTTTTAATTTAATTATAATTACAAGTTTTTTTAAATTATCATTTTATGTTTATATACAGTATATAAATTTATATATTGTACTGTATATACAATTATATCATTTTTAGTGGTTTTTATATTATTAAAAGTTTTTTTTAAATACTTTATTAATACGATATTAATTTTTATAAGTTATCAGATTTAAAAATAATTTTTGAATTTTTATGTATATAGTGTATAAATTTATGTTTGTTAATATATATATATATATATATAAATTTGTTAATTTATCATCAATTTTATAATAATAATATAGTATTATTTTTATTATTAACTCCCCCCCTTCCCCCATTTGGAAATACCCAATAATGTTATAAATGTACTGGGATATAACTTATTGATAAATAAATAATTTTTTTTTTAAAAAAAAGTTTTAATTACTTTAGACAATATATTAATACAAATATTGGTATTTTTAATGTACCTGTAATTAAGAAATTTTTTTCAAATAATTACTTATACAAAACAAACAAACAAATAAATTAATTAAAACAAACATTTATTTATGATAACTAATATCAAATTTTGTTGTTGTTGTTGGATTTTTTTTTAATTATTATTATCATTGATAGGGGTTTGAAAATAAATAACTTATTAAATAATTAAATAATTTTTTTTTTTTAAATATAAACTTTAATGCACTTACAAATTATATAATTATTACTTTTATTAAGCTGTATATTAATATAAATTAATATATAATTTATATATTATCTATAAAAAACAAAATTATTATTAATTTTGTTTACATTTTAAAAATATTTTTTAATCTATCTTAATTTTAATATCTCATCAATTTAATAATAATCAAATAATTAAATAAACACTCACTCACTCATATACACATACACATACACATACACATACACATACATACAACCACATACACATACACATACACATACACATACACATACACATACACATACACATACACATACACATACACATACACATACACATACACATACACATACACATACACATACACATACACATACACATACACATACACATACACATACACATAAACATACACATAAACATACACATACACATACACATACATACAACCACATACACACATAAAGTTAATAAATACATTATATTATTGTAAATATTTAAATATGCCTCAATAATAATAATAATAATAATAATAATACTGTACTATCTATAATAATCATTGACTAATAAAATACCATTAATAATTATAGTTTATAATTGATTAAATAAATGATTATGGCCTTGGTCATATTAACAACAACAACAAAAAACAGTGTACAGTCACTAGTATAATCAATAGATAATTTGCCACTAAATTAATGATAACTTTTTACATTATATAGTCCGATATATTCCGATATATTAATAGAGTTATAAAAGTTTATAAAAATTTATATCAATAGTATAGTAATATTTAATAATAATAATAAATATATATTTATCTATTTTGTACTAATATTTTACTTGACTTTTGAACCATTAATTGATAGGAAATTTATTGACAATAAATATTTTTATGTTTCACTCAAAATAAATATATATATATATCTATTACTAAATAATTTACTGAAACATTCAATAATAATAATAATAATAATAATAATAATAATAGATTCATATGTCTTATTCATTCATTCATATAATTCAATCATAAGTTTTTTTTAGTCCAACAAAACCAAAAAAAAAACACGACATTTGCTATTAATAAATATGTGATAAAAATAAATTAGTTGTAAATATTTATTAATAGTTAAATAATAATTGTTGCTATAATACTGTAGTAGTAATAATAATATTAAACTATATATTGGTATATATATATTCATATATTAAACTATTTAATTTTTTTTTTTTTTGAATATAAAAACATTGAACAACATTTTGTTTTTAAATTACTTAATTTTAATGTGCAGTTTTATTCAAGTTTTTATTTAATATATATAAAAAAAATGATTAATAATTATAATAAATATGTAGTGATAATTGAAAAATAATGCTATCACTAAAAAACATTATATGATAGCAACAAACAAAAAATTTTCATTAAAAATTTTTTAGTTTAATATTATTATTATTATTATTTTTTAAAATTGTGTTTTTATATTAGCTAATTAATTAAAAATTATATACTTAATTTATTTACAATTATTATATAGTAATTATTTATATATATATTATTAATATAGTTAATTGATTTAACAATTATTGTTTTTTTGTTGTTGTATTAATAATAATAATAATAATAAAATGAGTGATAAATCAACAAATCATAGACACAATTATGAAAAACTTTTAGGCAATGATTATCAGCCAAAGTTCAAAAATATTCGTGAATATCATACCATCGATAGTGATAATAATGAAAACAATGAAAAACACGACGATATCACCGAAAGTGGTAACTAATTACTTATTATAAACATACAACTGGTCTCTAATAACCAACTGATCCCTATATCTAACTGATCCCAATATCTAACTGATCCCTATATTTAACTGATCCCTATATTTAACTGATCCCTATCTAACTGATCCCTATCATCTAACTGATCCCAATATCTAACTGATCCCTATCATCTAACTGATCCCAATATCTAACTGATCTCTATCATCTAACTGATCCCTATCATCTAACTAATCCCTATCATCTAACTAATCCCTATCATCTAACTGATCCCTATCATCTAACTGATCCCAATATCTAACTGATCCCTATCATCTAACTGATCCCAATATCTAACTGATCCCAATATCTAACTGATCCCTATCATCTAACTGATCCCTATCATCTAACTGATCCCTATCATCTAACTAATCCCTATCATCTAACTAATCCCTATCATCTAACTGATCCAATCATTTATTTTTTGTTGATTGATAGGCTTTACCTTACGTCTGGAAGAATCGGATGACATGACTCTGAATGAATGTTGCGTTTGGTTTGGTCAGCGATACTTTACCCGCGAAAAACTGCGCCGTCGGCTACCGTTTATCGATTGGTTGCCCCGGTATTCGCTGGCCGATCTCAAAGGTGACATCATTGCCGGCCTGTCGGTAGCGTTTACAATAGTACCGCAGGGGCTGGCACTGGCCGTTTTGGCCGGTTTGCCCGCTCAGTACGGCCTGTATACGTCGTTTATGGGCTGTTTTATCTATGCCCTGCTCGGCAGCTGTAAGGACGTAGCCGTAGGGCCGACATCGATAATGGCCATTATTATAGCGCCGTACGTAATGAGCGGCGGTATCGAGTATTCAATAATCTTGGCCTTTATGGCCGGTTGTATACAACTGTTGTTCGGTATACTAAACCTGGGGTTTATTGTCGACTTTATTAGCTATCCGGTAATATCATCGTTTTCATCGGCCGCTGCCATCACTATAGCCGCCTCTCAATTGAAACTATTGTTCGGTATGCACTACTCGGCCAGTCGTTTCCCGGATACAATGTACAAGTTTTTCCATAGTATGACTACCGCCGATATTAACTGGTGGGACACACTGATGGGCTGCCTGTCCCTACTGTTCCTAATACCAATACAATTGGCCAAAGATTTCCGATTCAAAGATACCCGAAATTCGCCGAAGAAAAACACAAGTAGTAGCAGTAGTAGTAGTAAACATCGGGAAAATTGGTACACTTTTCTGAACGGCCTATGGGTTATGACTGTTACCGCCCGTAATGCCATTGTTGTTATTGTTGGCGGTTTTATAGCCGCCCTGTACTACCAATCGGATATTGATGTTGACGGCGGACAACAACATCGCATTACAATGACTGGCCAAATACGGACAGGACTACCGCCGTTTCAGTTGCCGCCGTTTTCCATTCAACAGCAGCAGCAGCCGATGGTCAACAACAACAACACTACTACTACTACTATTAGCGCCGATATTGAATTTGGCCAAATATTTTCGGATCTGGGAACGGGTGTGTTTGTAGTGGCACTGTTGGGTCTAATGGAATCGGTAGCCGTAGCCAAAGCGTTCAATACCAACAAATTGGACGCAACTCAGGAAATGATAGCCATCGGTATGTGTAATATCCTGGGGTCGTGTTTCGGTGCATTTGCCGCAACCGGCAGTTTTTCACGATCGGCAGTCAACCACAACAGTGGCGTACGGACACCGTTTGGAGGGGTAATCACCGGCAGTCTAGTACTGTTGGCGTTGAGTACATTGGCTCCGTATTTCCAGTATATACCGCAGACAGTGTTGGCCACTATTATCATTACGGCTGTCATATTCATGTTGAGACCATTGGATCCGTTCCTGATATGGAAGACCAACAAAGTTGATGTACTGCCCTATGTATCGACATTTTTTGTTTGTCTAATACTAGGCCTTGAATACGGTATAGTTGCCGGTATCGCCACATCGGTAATGATATTGTTATATCAAATGGCCAGACCTAAGGTCTATATAGTGATGAAGTCGACACCCGATGGCTATCCATTCCTATACGTCAAACCCGATCGAAGTGTATTTTTCCCGTCAATTGAATACATGAAACTCAAGATCAATAAACAACTGCCCGATAGTAATGAGTTGTCGTCAAAGATTGCCGTTGTCTTAGATGGCGAACACATGTTCAGAGCTGATTCAACATTTGCATTGGTATTTGAAAATTATTTTATATTATTTTTATTGAAAAAAAACTATTGTATTTTAGTTTACATAAACACTGGGGGGTGAGGGAGGGGTGGGGGTTAAATGTGAGTACCCCTTTAAGGGGCAATTTTCTAAATATATTGACTTTTATATAAATTATTATACATTTTATATATATATATACAGTATATATAATTATTATACTATATATATTACATTTATTAAAAATGTAATGGGGCTGTATAAATATAGTGGGGGTCTATAAATATAGTGGGGATGTAATAAATATAGTGGGGGTGTAATAAATGTATAAATTTTTAAATTATCGCAACAATGTGTGTTAATTGTGAACAAATACGGTATCATTTTTTTAAAAAAAAAAAGTATACTAAACATGATTTAATTTTAATATTTAATTTAATTATTATATTATTTATTATTTACAAACAAACACATACAGGGAATCAAAAATATGATAACAAGTTTAAGCGATCGACGAGTTTTGACCATATTTTACAATTTACGTAAAACGGTTTTCCGTGCCGTCCATGGAGTGGGTATACCGGCCAACGAGTTTCATAATTGTCTCAATGAATCTCATGTCTACCAATTGATTCAAACGCATAACAAGTGTCGGGTATTGAGATCGCAATCAAATGTCGAAACATTGGTATCGACGATGTCGTCGACAATCAATACTAGTCTATATCATCGTAACGAACATTGGATATCACAGTCGACTCAGGCCTACTGAGACCAGTTGGTGTGGGGAATGGGATGTATGAATGGATGATTGATTGTCACTATTTTGTCACTGCCATAACCAGACGTTGTTTTAATTGTTTTATAGCTATAATAACCCGATTTTTTTATAATTGTTTTTATTGAATACTATTATTTAATATATTTTGTAATGTAATGTATATTTAAATAAAAATATTTTTTTTAATTGTAATTTTAGTATTATTTTTAAAAATAATTCATTATTTTATATAAATTATATTACGTTAATACTAGCATAGTAATAATAGTATATATATTCAATATATATATTGAAAATATGTAAAAAAATTTATGATTTCATGCTATCAATTAAAAAAAAAATTATAATTAAAATTTAATAAATAAAAACAAATTTTGTCTAATTGATATAATTTTTTTAATAAATAATATATAGTATATATTATATACAGTATAATAACTTATATTAAACCCTTTTTATTTTGGTTTTTTGTTTGGAAAATATTTTTTAATAAAAATAAAACTTATAATTAATAAATAATAGTGAAAATAAAAAAAAACACATAAAACATATCATTAAAAATAAATTAATAAATACATATTTAACTATAGATACCAAAAAAATATAAAATATTTCAAATTTAAACAAACAAAAAACTAAATTAAATTTTTGTTAATCAATTGAACCAAATTGTATGACCCGTACGGAATGGTAAGGCATACGAAACAGTAGTTTCTGGACAATCGACTTAATTTGTGTCCAATAGGTATGTCTGGTGGCTATCCATACGTACTGCAAGTTTGACCCGTGTTTATCAATGGCTGCCTTGACTTGACGGCCAATCAGATTGCCGTTGTCGTCGAGCACCGGGCCATAGATGACCAGTCGTTTCAATGCTGGCAACTGTACTAAACCGGACCAAACCGACTGGCCATCGATAACCTGACTAAACAAACAACTGTTGACGGATAGCGACTGAATACGCGGAATGGTTTGATGGATATCGACAAAGAACTGCCGATTGGCTATCAATCCAAATAGTTTACCAACAAATCGCAAGTCGGTCATCAGTGGCCAACAATTGCCGATCAGCTGCAGCCGTGATTTCATATCATCGGTTAACTGGTGTTCGGCTAATACAATGTCCATCATTTGGTTTTGATTGTCGCCGATTGTCTGCATTTCCAATCGTCTCAATTGATTCATTTGTTTAATACCAGCGAATGTCTGGACAAATGATTCAATATTGTCACCAGTCTTCGGATAACTGATTCGTAGACACAATCGTCTTAATTGGCGACAATTTCTAGCAATCAGTTCCAATGGATCGCCAATCGATTGATTCAATTTTAGCTTTTGTATCGCAAGTTGTCGAAGACATGTCAGACGCGATATCTCTGTCAGCGATTGATTTACAAAATCTTCTTCCACTTCTTCCATGTCGTCGTCGTCGTCGTTGTCGACAATATTCGATAGACAATCAATAGACAGCTGTTTGAGGTGTCGACTGTTACCGTCGATGAACGTCTGAAACCTGTCGACATCGAGTCGCTGACATCGAAATG